GATCAATTCCCTTGGACGAACAAGCATATGGGTTCAGCATGCATTCATGAGCGTCTGGATAGGGCGCTTTGTTCCCAATCATGGATTGATACTTATCTAGAGACTCTGATCAAACATTTTACGGACCAGGGATCGGATCATCGCGCCCTTCTTCTCTCGGATAAACCGTATGCTCGTAGTAGTCGTCCCCTATTTCGATTTGATGCCCGCTAGGCGGACAATCCAGAAGTCAAAGCTATGGTCCCCCTATGTCTGGCAGGAAGAGATCCAAGGTACCCCTATGTTTCGACTTTGGGAACGCCGAAAGAAACTTCGACATCTTTATGATTGGAGTAGGGCAGGCACTACGAATTCCTTGTGGAATATCAAGACTCTCCAAGCGGAGATTGACCGAATAAAATCAACCCATTCGGTGGACTGGGATATGATTAGGTCCCTGAAAATGGAGCTGTCCCGCCAGTGGGAAGCGGAAGAGATATACTGGCAGCAAAAATCCAGGGTCCGCTGGTTAAAGAAAGGTGACCAAAACTCTGCGTATTTCTATACGGTTACACGCACCCGTCGGAAACGAAATTTTGTTTCGGGGCTGCGAAATGATGAGGGGGAATGGATCACTGAGGAGAGTGGGAAGGCAAATATTGCTACTGATTTTTACCAGACTCTGTTCACTTCGGAAACACAGATTCCTAATATGACGGATAGGGTAGCAAGCCTTCCCATTGCCCGTAGTGTTACTCCGCAAATGAATGCGCAGTTGACAGCTGAGGTTTTGCCTAGTGAGGTTCGGAGAATGGTTTTTTCCATGGGGTCGAAACAGGCCCCGGGGTCTGATGGCTTCACAGGAAAGTTCTTCAAAGCATTCTGGGATATAGTGGGCACTTTGATGATTGAGGCAATATGTTCTTTCTTTACAACAAGCCGGATGTTGCGAAGTTTTAATCATACATGGCTCACATTGATTCCTAAAGTAGATTCTGTGGAAACAATCAAACAATTGCGTCTGATCAGCTTATGTCAATTTGTTTATAAAGTGATAACCAAAATCATGGCTGAACGGCTTGCAGGTCTGCTCCCCCAAGTCATCTCTGAGGGTCATAATGCGTTTATAAGAGACCGGCAAATTATTGATAACATCCTGCTAGGACATGAGTTAATGCATTACCTGAAAATCAAAAAATAGGGGGAAGAAAGGGTACATGGCTCTAAAGGTTGACATGGAAAAGGCTTATGATAGAGTTGAATGGCCTTTCCTTCTGGCGGTTTTGGATAAAATTTGTTTTAACTTTGTCTGGCAAGGATGGATACATGAATGTCTCCGTTCCTCATCATTTTCTGTCCTAATGAATGGTACACCCTCGGGTTATTTTACTTCATCCAGGGGGCTCCGGCAGGGGGATTCGCTATCGCCTCTTTTGTTTGTGCTATGCACGGAGGGGTTTGCGTCTCTCCTCCGGAAAGCGATCTCGGAGAAGAAACTGGAAGGAGTCAAAGTGGCTCCTCGTGCTCCAAGAATCTCTCATTTGTTCTTCGCTGATGATTCTTATTTATTCTTGAGAGGTTATCTCCAGGAGTGCTAGAATTTAATTGAAGTCTTGAATGAATATGAAGAGCTAAGTGGCCAGCGGGTTAATCTGGAGAAGCCTGCGGTGTGCTTTAGCAAGAATATTGCCCTGCCAGATCAGGATTTCTTGGCCGCAATTCTAGGAGTTGGTGCAGTGGGGGTCCATGATAAATATCCGGGGTTACCCACGCTGGTTGCCAGATCCAAAATGGCTACGTTCAGGTATTTGGAGGAAAAACTATTAGAGCGACTTCAGGGGTGAAAGCAACGGATGTTGTCTTGGGCGGCTAAGGAAACATTGATTAAATCTATAGCGTTGGTCCTACCCCTATATGTCATGCTTCCTGCTTCCCCTCTCTCTTTGTCGCCTTTTAGATAGACATGTGGCCCAGTTCTGGTGGGGTGCTGAAGAGGGCCATCCCAGGGTTAGATGGGTGTCCTGGCGCAATATGTGCAGGAGTAAGCATGATGGGGGGATGGGTTTCCACCAGTTTGAACATTTTAACCAAGCTCTTCTCGCGAAGATTGGTTGGCGTATTCTCAATGAACCTCATTCCCTCCTTGCCCAGGTTTATAAGGGGAAGTACTTCCCGCAAGGTTCATTCCTGAGCGCAACGGCTAGATCACGGCCCTCATGGGCGTGACAGAGCATCCTCTATGGGAGACAGTTATTGGAGGTGGGTTTAAGGTGGCAGATTGGCAATGGCCAATCGGCCTCTCTTCTCCACTCTAACTGGATTCCTGGGTGCCAGCTCGATCCACCCTGCTATAATCCGATGATCTTACCAGATGGGGGCGATCCCTTGGTGGCGGAAGTTATTTGTGAAGGGGAAGGGCGGTGGTCTGATGATAAGCTTAGTCAATGGTTTGATCCGCATACCTGCAGCGCCATTAAGGCTATTTTACTCCCGCGGCAGAATGTGGCTGATAAGCTTATCTGGCATAGTATGGCAGACAGAGTTTTCTCGGTTAAGTCGGCTTACAATTTGGCGGTTGACTCAGATAGGAGGAGGGGTGAGTGGCGATCCTCGGTTAGTTGGATGGATACGCCAAGTTGGATCAGGGTGTGGGAAGCTAAGATCCCTCTGAAGCTAAAGGTTTTTCTCTGGCAAATTCTTAATCGGGCTCTACCAACTACAGAGGCGCTTATTGAGAAGAAGGTTCTTGTGCTTCCCTGGTGTCCAGTTTGCTGGGATAGCCCGGAAACGATGGAACATCTGTTCCTTTATTGTCCGGTTGCGCGGGCTCTCAGGGACTACTCTGGGTTGGAATACTTGGGGGAGGGTTTGCCTCGGCATACCTTTCCTTTATTTCTCAAACGTCTATTGGCGCTTATCCATCAACCATCGTTGTTTATGGTAGTGGTTGCCATCCTTTGGCGGATCTGACGGTCTCGTAATTAGGTTGTCTTTGAAGGCAAACAATTTGGGTTCCGTGCGCTCATGCGCCAATTTAACCAGCAATATGAGGAATGGGTGGGCTTGCCATCAGACCCGGTGACTAGGGTGACTAGGCCGTTGATTCGGTTGGTGGCTCAATTGGGTGATTCTCGGCTAGTTTGCATGTGGGATGGGGCCACTAGGAGTGGGTCACATTCGGCGGGTGGGATGGTTTTTTGTGACCCGGCGCGAAGACTCCTTTTGGCAAAATGGTGCAGTTTCCCCAAATGGACGAGCCTGCTGTGGTGGAGTTGCTTGTGCTTCGGGAGGCCATTTTGTGGTGTTTGGAGTGTGGTTTGACGGAGGTCCGGTTCGAGGGCGATGCGAAGGTCATTATTGATAAAATTAGTCAAGCTGACACAAGGGATAACCGGTTGGGTGCTGTCCTGGAAGAGATAGTTCATTATTTCAGCGCTCATCCTGGGTTTTGTGTGCGATTTATAGGTCGGGAGAACAATAGGGTAGCTCATTCGGTAGCTAGAAAAGCCCTCTCTTTGTATCCAACTATGGGTTGCTTCTTTGATTTCCGGACCTGGCTGGTTTCCAGGATGTAACTGTCTATTTATTTTGGATCAATATATGATATCTTTTGACAAAAAAAAAAAAAAAGAATCAAATAAAAATAATGGCAATTCTTTCTCTCTTCTTTTATAGTGGCAGTGCCAGAAGTTGAAAAGGAGGCTGAGTTGAACGGAGTAATTAAAGAGGAGCTAAAGCCTTATTCACTATTTTATTGTTACAAATTTTACATATAATTTACTTAAATTTTAAAATTGAAGGGACTATAACTTCTCCTATTTTCAACCTAGTTCTACCACTTCTAGTTTCAATCGGCTTGAGATATGACATACATATAGGGCCTCAATAGTAGATAGCTATAATTTCTCCTTCATTTAATAGTTGAACCTTCGCGTGACTTATAACCTCAAAGCATCATTGACATTTAGATAGAAGCGGGAGGACCACATAAAAAGGTATTATATGGTTCAATAACAAATTATAGCCGCAATAAATTCGAGCCTTCATATATATTACTTCAATATTCACAGTCTTTAATATAGGATAGACGCTTTATCACAACTTCTCGAGTGAATTGGGTCTAGGGGTTCGCCCTTGCAAAGTTGGATAGCAATGATTTGTTCTTAACCTTACATGAGATTGTTTCGAAAATAGACTTGTCTACAACAAGGATCTTATTGAGACTACTTCACACTCACTACACTATCATGGAATAGATTTAGCAATTTGTATCATACCCTTAACTAATCTCACATTGAATTTGACTATCAAAAGCCAAATTTAATAGTAGATTCTCGAAAATCGTCAGATCAGTCTTCAATTTTGAGAGAAAATTTCCAGATTTCTTGTTTAATGGGTGTACTTCGACAAACTTGGATCAAACCACGGAAACTAATTTATTGCATTTGGGTGTTAGTACTACACCTAGTCCTATGGTTGGTGGATTATGAATAAGCATGAAATGAACTAAATCAATAGAAATCAAAACAAATAGCACAATATATTTTCTTTTTATCTCACTCTTGTTATATGTGATCAAGGATTTGCTCCTACCAACTCATCATTAATTTTTTTCCACCAAGACCACAATTTTTCCCCCTTCATGGATCCCTTCAATAGCATATAAAAAAAAACCCTAACTTTTTCCGACGAGAAACAAGATATCTTCAACCTTTTCTTGTTACTTTATAATTTATAATTACAATCATCACATCGCATCCCTTTAACTTGTCCTTCCACCGTTTCCTCATTTCCCTGAGTGCTATACCTCCAGAGAAACCATGTCCAAATTGATGGCCTTGATCTCTGCCTCTGCCCACTTGAAATGGGCTGTGGATTTCATCTTTCCCAACATTAATCCCTTCCCCCAAATCTTCCATCCCAGCAGAGTACTCTGTTTTCCTGATCCCTCACTCTGCAAATCGGAAGCAAGCCAAGAAGAAGAAGATAAAGACGACTGCTGCTCAATCTGTCTAGTCAAAATGAAGCAAGGGGAAGAAGTTAGCAAATTGAGATGCAGCCATCTATTCCACAGGCCATGCTTGGACCGATGGTTCCAATCCCGCGGCGGCGGCGGTCCCCTGACTTGCCCGCTTTGCAGGGACAACAGCTTGTTTCGTCCCCGGGAAGCTCTCGCCGCCGCCGCCGATGGAGTTGAGGTTTTGGAACTGAGGTTGGTCGGCGGTGGTTCGGGGGATTCCGATGACCGGGACTCATGGTGGTTACGGTGATTCGAGAAGAGAGGAAATGGGTTTTGTGTTTCCCGACCACGAAAGATTGTCGCGGCGGCAAACCGGCGGTGGTAGGCTGTGGCGGCGAACCGGCGGTGGAGGGGTAGAATTCAGAGATGAGTTTCCTGGACCGTAATTGTTGGCAAGTTGTCATTTTCTTGTAATTTATGTGACGTATGATCTAAGATTCTTGTGTTTATTTTCTTCTTTTCGGCCTCGAGAGTCGCTTCACTTATCACCTGTCTCTACATATTGTCAAGTTAATCACTGAGAATACCAAGAAAATGCGATCTGCAACTCCCAACTCTTCATTGTCGCGACAGCTTTATCGTTAGGCTATCTTACATTTGGTACCATTCTGTACAACCTTATCTTTGAGATCTCATTTTTCCCCCGAAACCTAACACAATAGATAACGCTATAAATCGCGCTTTGGATTGTATAAATTATGTATATTTATAAGTAGTTTAATGATTGAATATAAATTAGTTTGCATGATATTGATATTGCATAGTTGTACGTAATGATTGCAATTTGAACCCGTCTCATGGGTATTACCCGACCAAGAGTAGCGTGAGGCGGCCGGGCGGGGTATGAGTATTTACTTCCAACCCAACCCGCTCTGCCCTACCCACCCCATTTTTGGCTCATTTTTCCTCAAATACTTACAATATCTATTCATATTTCACATATTTTAACTTTTCTTCAACTAGTTAGACTCAACCTTTCAACTAGTTAGACTTAATTACCGGTTCAATTATCACGATTTTCATTCATAAAATGTTTCCCCCCTTTGTTTTGTTGTAAAAGTAAAATTTTGTGTGTATTTTTTCCACATAACATGTAAGAGTGGATCAACCCACCTCGTCCCAACCCACAATAACGTGGAACGAGACATGAATATTAAGGTACCCGTCCCACCTGTACGTGGGCACCGGGCCGTGCCGCCCACGGGCTAGCACGACACGGCACGGTTAGAGCACGATACGAGCACGCGCACGAATAATTTATGGGCCGTGCCGGGCCTAAACTTCATGGGCACGAGCACAGGCACGGTATATAAATAGTCTGTGTCGGGCCTAATATTTTCGAGACTTTATTGAGTATAAGAACGAACATGGCACGAAAATAATATTTATTTGATAGAAAATAAATATAAAAAGAATTATAGGTTCAAATATTACAAAACACAAGTAGAAAATAATTATTTTTTGTTGTTAGAAGTGTCATAAAGATATATATGTAATTACTAACATAAGTAAAAATAGATAAAAAAATTAAACAAAGTCAAATCACACTCGCTATACTTCCAATTTTCTTTTCCCCCTGATTTGTTACTTTTCTCAACATTATCGATTAATACTATCTTCCTCCGTCCAATTTTCACCTTATTTTTCAGTCTCTCTTTTGTTTTCGTCCTTTTCATTAAACACGAATACGAGCATGACACGAGCACGGATAGACATGCATGATTCGAACCATGCCCGGACCTGGGCCGGGCCTAACAAAGTTAAGGTCCGGGCCTAACAAAGTTAATAAATGGACTTGCACGACACGACACGAAAACTGATGGAGGCGTGTCATGCACGGCACAAAATAAATAGGCCCGAAGCGTGCCCGTGCCGTGCCGGCCCAAGCACGACTCAACGCTCATGTACAGACTCCCACCCCACTCCACCCCATTGTCATCACTAGTTGTGCGCACATAATTTGATTGTGAATCTACATGTAGGATGGTCTTGACTCTCATAACCTACACGATGAAAGTGTGGCTTCTTCTTAGTAAATCAGCATGTGCTTTTCATCCAAAAAAATTAAAAGGGCAGATCTAAGGTGTAAATAAAATTACGCCCATGACTCATGATTGACCCAACATTCCGTGGGCGGCTAACTTTGCCACCTGACGAAGAGCATTTTCTAAAGTGACCGATGAGAGAAAATTGCGGAAGGGAACATGGTCATGTAGATAAATAAACCAAAGTACCAAACCCCACGTACTGGCGTACTAATCATCCACATTTGGTCACTGAAATTATTAAATTGTGTTATGTTTAGTCATTAGAAAAAAGTAATATCAATTTTGATCACTTGAATTACTGGAACATGCCACAATGAGTCACTCTCCGTTAGCCTCCCGTCCAACTCCATTAATGAAGTTGAACGGAAACTATCGAAAGAGTGACTAAATGTGACATGTTTCAGCAATTCGAGTGACAAAAATTAATATTTTTTTTCTAGTGACTAAACATGACACGATTTAGTAATCTAAGTTACCAAATGTGGTGTTTACCCTCTAATATCTACACCATTGGTCTCTTACCAGTTCGATTTCATCCCTCGCATCACCATTGTCAATAAACATCCACGACCTATAGCTACATCTCTGGAATGAGGCATCCAATGAATCAATAACACTTCTACTGTGCTTTAAAGTACAACTTTAACTTATACTACAATGTAAATGTACACATTGAAGTTATACCATAAGGAAATTTGACTTTTACGTTGTGGTACAATGTAACTTTAGGTTGTACCATAAAGGGATTTTATAAAAGAGTATAGGTACAACCAAAAGTTGTACCATAAAGGCAAAAACTAAAGCACCAATGCTTTAAAGCATTGTAAAATTCGATCAAACAAAAGAACGAATTGGATAAAAAAAGAATGATCATCCTGGCCCCAAAAACTTATGCCAAAAGCTCTGTAAGGAATGATCGAGGAATGTAACGAACGTACTTGTTCGCAAGCAATCCACACGATCACGAATCATGGCTTAGAGATGTACCATTACCGTCTGAATAGCCTGCACTTGATCTTGCGTCAAGTTCTGCAGTTTCCAGCATTGCAAAAAGAGAGCTTGAGGATTTGTGGTAATAAAAGAAAAAGGAAATGTAAAGAAGAGTTGCGACTTTGGATGACTTAGGATAAGCTGATTTTTCAGTGAAATGCTTTGCTGATTGTTGGAGGATGGATAGGTCAGTCAAACCTGGCACAAATGGTCAAACAGCTGCCTATCCCCATTTCACAATTTTGTAAAGAAGTCGCCAAGGTAAGATGCCACATTAATCTGCCAAAATAATCAGCTTCCACTAAAAAGGCCAGACAAATTGCGTCAATTGTGTGGGAACATCACACACAAAAAAACACACTCGTTCAATTTCTTCCCACTCGTTCTCCTTCAATAATGGTTTGCTGGAAGCCTATAACTCCTTTCAACAAAAATTATCCGAATGGCAAAGGAAGTATAAATTACCCAGTTTTACCTCATCATCATCAAACTAAAATTGTTCATGCATTTCAAGAAGTGTGTCTGCCAATAAAGACGCTATCTGCAGCAAATAAGCAAAACAGTCTTCAACTAAGTTACCATAAATTGTTAAATAGACATGTATATTATATTAGACTATGATTCATGGAGAACTAATTAAGTATGTTGCTAAATTTTCACAAATAAAGTATGTTGCTAATGATCTAATTCTACTAGTGCACTTCCATTCAACAACTAAATTGTTCATCAGATTTCAATCTCACACTTCAGTAATGAGAGTACCTTGAAAAGTAGTGCCACCATGGTCCATTTCTCAGGGGTCACTTTAGCCTTTGAGCGTGTAGTTATCCCTTCTGTAGACTTTACCCAAACACAAATGTTTAAAAAAAAGTTTATGCCATCCACAAGGAGATGACTAACCGCATCAAGCAATAAGCATTCAAAAGTTAATGGCAGATATCAACCTTGATTAGATGGCCTTGCACATAAACTTTTCCAAGTTGAGGGTGGCTGGTGGAGAGCAACAATGCCAAAGCACTGGTTGTCACCTTAATCTGATAGGCTCCCTGAATCTCCCCTGTCAAAGATTTATTAGCTTGCCAATGTAAGATATTTGAGCTTCAACAATAACTTCCATTCAGGGCAAAAATCAAATGGTTTAAACAGACTACTACATAGTATAGGCATATTGGGTGCGGTTAATACCTTGTTGCTTTGTCCATTCTGACATGACATAAACAAAGGCATTATCATGGTCCGCGGCTGGGATACTAACAAGCAAATCGATAAACTTTTCCACATTAGGGGCACTCATGTGGACCTGTTCATATTCAACACACAAAGAAGGAAAACACTCAGAAGTGCATGGTTATATATTAATGTGCAGCTTACTCTATGAGAGGGGGGGGGGAATCCTAAAAAGACAAGTGATCTCCCAAGTTCAAAGCCTCACTCAAGCATTATTGTTCACAGATGCCCGCATTACCACTATGGTTATTATGTGTTATACCATGCACTGTAACTTTGACTTTCACCTCGAGGAATACTTCTGATGATTCAAGAATAGTAAGTAATATATGTACAGAAAAAGGATACCATTTTAGCAAAAAGAACTATCAATGAACTTCTCAATCCAGCTATTTGAGAAGACTGCATTCTTCTAACAAGAGCAGTAATAAGATCCGAGGTATGTTGTGCCATTTGCAGCGGTAGATGCAAAATAAGTTGCAAAATATAATTCCCAACAAAAAGAGAACCCGAGCTATCAAGATTGGGATCTAGAAGCCTGCACAACCAAGAGCACTCAGCATAAGAAACTGATATACCAATGCACATTATACAAGCAACAATACTTTTAATGAAATAGGCATCAGATTCCTAATGAAATGAAATTGATTGTATTTTATGAGGTTATTGAGAAACAGATCAGCAAAATAACCTTACAAAAAACAGAGGAACTAGAAAAATAGAAGGACCTTGAAGCTACATCAAGCAAACTTCTCATCGCAAATCTAGAATCAGCAGCCCAAGCAAGAACTTCCTGCCTTCCTCCAGATATAAATGCAGCCAAACATTGGGTTGCATTCTACAAAGGATGCAACCAAACAAAGGATCAACTCCCATAACACCTGAGGAAGATAGCCAAAGAATAATTAATGTGGATGGTAGTAGAAACTAACCTGCAGTTCACTATGGTCGTCGTTCTGAAGAACAATCCTAGTTACAGCGTTGAAGCAAACATCATATAGTACCCTCACAACATCCATTGGAGCATTCTGTACATTGCTACCACAATTAAAGCAATTTTAGAAAACATACAACAATTATCATATGGAGATAGAGGGCAGTATGATATTTTTTTCATCAACAATAACTTGCCTTCAGTTAGGGGTGGGCATTCGGTCGGTTCGGTTCAAACCGAACCGAAATAATGTATACCGGATTTCCGAGTTCCATCAAACATCAAACCGAATTCGAACCGAATTATAATTCGGTTCGGTCGGTTCAAACCGAATTATAATTCGGTTCGGTTCAGTTTTGTATGAAAAACCGAACTTGTGAGGTTAGCTTGTATTTTTTCTCTTTTAAATTATTTTTCACCCCTAATGTAAACAATAAATATGCAATTAAATGCATTATCAATGATAAAATCAAACATTTCAACACATAAGTCATAAAACACTAACATAATTCAAATATTTAAGTCTCATAATAAGTACAAACATAAAAATCCACCATTTGGAACTTGCAATTATAGTAATTCGGAAAATCGGTTCGGAATTCGGAAAATCGGTTTGGTCGAAAGGACCTTGGTTTCCGAAATATACCCTTTTCTCTTCCGAATTCCGAACCGAATTAATGTTATTCGGTTTCGGTTCGGTTTGAATTCGGTTCGGTTCGGTTAGGTTCGGTTTTACCGAACCGTATGCCCACCCCTACCTTCAGTAGCATGGTCACCAGATCAAGTGATCTAGCTACCAAACCTTCTGGCTGCTCTCGTGGCTGGCAATTAGTAAAAAGAAGTGTCAAAATAAATTAATAACAACTTCAAATGACCAGATCAACCGTAAGAAAGTTTATCAGCAAAGTTTCATCTATACCTTGTTCAAAATTGGCCCTACATGAGGCAGAACTCGAGAAACCAATGGATGAATACCACCAGGTGCATTCTTTATTGCATGGATAATTAACAAAAGAAACCCCATTTAGTCAACTAGGCATACATAACACATATACTAACAGAAAATCAGCACATGCTTAAAATAATTAACACAATCAATTTGTAGTCTGAGATTCTATCTAATGGTTGTCCTTCCATACATGCTCATGTTCCCGGGGCAGTAAGTGCGTATTTATTCATCACTTACAAATAGCCATTGCTTCAATAAATTTAAGATTGATCAGAGCATATCCTTATTTGCTTCTTTTTCCTGGCTCCAGTAATATTAAACAATGTAAGCTTATCCATCTCCATGTGTCTTAAGGATATAGATCTCCTCATTAGTATCTCGAAAGAGCTCACTATCGTTAGCTGTGAGAATATATTGTTATCCCCTTGTAAACACTTCAGCATAACATAACAAAACACTAAAGACACGGTACTAGGTTTTTAAGTCAATCATATCCTGCTACCCCGGCAATTGCATTGGATTTGTATCATAAACATTATGAGGAAATAGAAAATACATGGAACCAAACAACTTCAATGGACCATGAGAACTATAAGGACACTGAGAATATTACCTCCAAAACTTCAATCTCATCGATACCAATAAAAGGATCAGAAATATGTGACGCCCACACATTAAGAATCACAGGCGAGATTATAGACTCAATTGGTCCAGATACTTTGGCACCTAAAATATTTTTTTGACAAAAAACTTGAATATTAAGCTGAGAGGAAAACAACCACAAATTATAACAACTGATGATTAGTGCTCCACCGACTTGACTTAATTGCAGCTTGTAGTGTTTCAAGGACAAGGTGTAAAGTTTCATCAGATGCCTATAAAGCAGAAAACAGTCAACGCATGCAGTAACAAAACACTAAAGGCAGTCAAAGTCCTAAGAGTTACCTGTTGAAGTAAATCTGTAAGGGATGACAATAACCCAATTAGTTGAGGTTGGACAACTTCTTTGTTAGCTTCAGGCAGAAGCTTAGAAAGCGCTCGGCAAGCACCTACCTTCACAGGTGGGGGCCTAATCACAAAAAAAAACCAGTCATCACAGGATGTGTCCACACAAGTACGCAAATTCAAGTACACACAAGGAACACTCACACATCCATGCCAACAGCTTTCATTGCAGCATAAAGGAATTGCTCAAGGACCATGTGGCTTATCTATATAGGATAAAAACTTGATTACAGATTTAGAAAAAAAATAACTATTGCAAAACAAACTGAAAGTGTAAGTTCAAGAATTACCACAGGGGAGAATTTAGCGACCAATGTAAGAACACGGGCACAAAGAAAGGGATATTCATGGGGCCCTGCATAGGTATCACAAAAAAGGATGTATATTGGTATGGCATATAATAAATGAAGAGAGAAAATGTGTGAGTGAAAGGACGAGTAGGACAGGATACCAATTCTAATGTCTTCGGCAACAAGCGACTCTATAAGCTTTCCTAAGAAAAAGTTGGTAACCCCATAATCCTGAACAAAGAACTCCATATTCAGAAAGGAAAACCAAGGAGATCCACCAAACATTTATAAATTTAAAAAATACCTCAGCTTCGAGAAGCTGATCTGAGACTGAAGTCAAAGTATAGAGTGTTGCCTCCCTAAGCTGCCAAAATTTTTGAGGTTATAGTTATTTGCGAGGAAATACACACAAAATCATAACATGAAACCCATTATAGATCATCTAACACTCATGCTAACATCTCTCAACACCATCTAAGGCTAAACAATAGGGAAATCAATTTTCAAATTAAAGAAAAAGGAAAAAGGGAGAGTCCAATTTCCACGAAAAGAAATCAGGATGTTAATCCAACAAGCGCGTGAAAATCCATAGCAATAGGTGGCATCACCATTCTTGAAAAGCACCTTTACCAGGATGCAATCAAGACTGCCTACCAGGATGTGACCCAATAGAATTTATAGAAAACAAGGCAAGAGAGTGGAGAAGAATCATTTCCAACCTTTCTGGAGCCTGAAATGGACAGAAAGAGAGAGTCCAGTGGCGTAGCCAGGATTTTGAGTAAGGGGGTGCCAATTTAAAAAAATTAAAATGACTATCAATTTTTTATAGTGACCCACGACGGGTTTTCATATTTTGAAAAGTCTGTAAAATACATTCGTTTACTTCTTGAATAAGCATGTAATTATGAGGTTTTTTAATTTAATTTACTTATTATTTGTAAACGGTAAATTATATATATGCAATAGAACGTATTATTGTATCATGTAAGTAATTGTTGTTTAATGGAAGATGTCAAAGCTAATAGTAAGGGGGTTCCATGTTCAAATCCTAGCTATAGCATAAACTAATACCCCTATTTTTTAATGTTCTAGCCCCGACCCAAGGGTGTGCCACGGCACACCCTTCTAACACTGTGTCTCCGCCCCTGAGAGAGACCCTAACAGAACTAAATGTAGAGCATGCATTACAAACTACAGGGGGGACTCAAATTTCATGAAAAATTATAGAGAAAACAATAAACATAAATGTATTTTTTTCCTTCAACAATAACTACTTTATATATGTTATTTGCAATAAACATTAACAATTTAAGATATATCAGTGACTTGGAACTTTTATAAAGACGGGTTTGGAGTTGCTGACCCTTCTTACTGAATTATTTTTGCACTACCACTCATTCCATGCATCTAAACCAAACAAGTGGTGATTCCAACTCGCACAGTTGTCAAGTGCTTCCAACAATAACAATTCACCTAGAAGGAAATTGCTTTGCTTACTCTCCACCACACTGATGAACCAGCAACCTGTTCTTGTTGGGACTCGTTGAACCTTTCTCTCGTAGCATCTACAATCGCATTGATCCCTTCTACACCACAAGAATTTATCACCTCTTCCAGTAAAAGGGCACCTGCAAGAGAAAATTTAAAGGAAACACATCACCATGGAAGCTTAAACTTTTGAAATGCAGAATTCGTGTTATCCACATTACTGGACTATAGTAATTGCTGAGCGACAGTATCAGAAGATTAAAGAATAAGCCAAAATTTATGATAGCAAGTACGATTACAGATCACTAACAATATTTGCAGGCCTATGCTAGCATGTTGCTGATTCTACAGATAAAAGAAAAACATGCCTGACTCTACAAATAAAAGAAACTAACATTAGAGTATCCAACACCTAATGCATTACCCTTGCGTGAATATTCGTTGTTACCAAATTGCAGTGTAGATAGGTAACCATATCTAGTAAAGTTCAAAAATTACACTAGACCAATCAGTTAGTTTTGAGTTATCCTTTACAAACTATAATTGACTGCCATGACCAAGGTTCCAACACGTGCAACCAAACAATTATTGCAAAAGTCAATGATACTGCACAATTCAATAGGTTCTTCCTGACTCCATAATTAGCATGCTTGAGCGTAGAAAAGGCAACTGAAACTATTATTTAGTCAGTTGCTACGATTGGGCACTAAGTACTTCAGATATGATCAAGAAAATATATTCTTACTTGAAAAAGTGCTTACCAGAAACACGACAACTATGAGTCTCGTCATCCTCATCAGCCACGAATTGATTAGCATCCACTGACCATGTATGAACCTACTCCAGTCCAATAGTCAGACAAAAACGCTTGTAAGTGTACCATATTTAGGGCCTTCAGTACTATATAGATAATGCTTCCAAATTCAACGGGAGACAATGACTCAAATATTTCTCTAAGATACTGTAGCAGGCATTCTCTTCCCTTTTCTCATTTGACACAACAAACAACAACAACTCTAACAATCTCCTTGTTTATCACCTTAAACGTGGATTTATTGGTCACTTCTCAATCACCAACCTACAGTGATGTGTCAAACAAGATCTCATACTCACGTACATTACGTTTTTGCTAGCTCCCTATCCTTTGTAAGAGTTAAGGGAGCAAGGCAGAACGAAAGTGATGGAATGAGGTAATTATATTACTAGCACCGGGCCCGGCCCTTGGCCGGGAGAGTTTGATTATGTGTTGTTATCATGTATAATGTATAGTTGTTCGGTACTGATAAAAAATATAAAAATAAATAACGAATAATGATATCTAGTAAGAAAATGGTGTCTATTTATTTTGTATTTCAAATAGGACAATGTTATAATTGCGCCGTTACGAATTGGAAAATTGCCGAAATCGAGAAAGGAAGAATACGAAAGCGAGAATCGAAAACAGACACACGATTTACGTGGTTCACTGACGCGATGTGTATTAGCTACGTCCACGGGCAAGAGAGACAGTTTCACTATATCGAGGAGATTACATATTACAGAGGAGATGAGAAGTATTTATACTTCTCCATGTGGGTCTAAAACCTAGTTAAACCTGGTAAAGGAAACGGTTACGGACCAGGCCCAAAAATGACAACCCAAACGTGTATCGACCCCCATGACTTCCAGTTATAGCGACTGATAGTCCGATTCAAGTCTCATCAACAAACAAAACATGAGAGTTTTATTCCATTATACACACATAATCCATCTTAATCATAAAAGAAAATGCTTGTCCATTAATGTAGTTTAATCAAGGGTTATAGGTATAATATGCCCCTCTACTATGATATTTTATCAAACATGCCCCTCTACTATTTTTTTTTTTGCATCAAACATGCCCCTGTAATTTGAAACAACTATCAAACATGTCCTTCAGTTAAAATTTTCATTGAAAAAATCGTCAATATGGTTGAACCGAGATTTAGACGACTTGACATCGATAAATGGGAGGGGAAATGTCAGTTTTGACCCTTGCTTTATTTCTCTAGGTCTCATTAAAGTGAAATTATTAGAATTATGTGGCTATACAAAAGAACAAAAAAACTCTAAAGTGAAATTATTAGAGATATTTTAGATATTTGGGTCGCCCAAATCAAAGTTCGGTCTTGGTTAACGATTTTTGGATGGAAATTTTAACAAAAGGGCATGTTTGATAAGTTTTCCAAAGTACAGGGGCATGTTTGATGTAAAAAATAGTAGAGGTGCATGTTTGATAAAACGTCATAGTAGAGGGGCATATTATAGATTGATCACATTTTCTCAATACATTTTCTCAATAGTTACCGTCTTAATTCATCACGGTACACGTTATAGATATGAAATTATATGATGCAAAAGAAAATACAGGGCACATTAGAGATTGATCAACAATATGAAGTAGCATGTTGAAGATGTAACACGACGACGTAAAAACCCTCATCGATACAATATTAACCTTACTTAGTTTGCACAAACTATTATTCCATAGAATTTGTGACCATTTTGCATGCATAGAAGAGAGTTTCGTTGTATTAGCTATTAGAGAAACCAGAAAATGACCTAGTGTCAATATTCAGACTGAGCATTCTTAACATGAGTCAATGGTTCAAGCTATAAAAGAAAACCCAAAGGATTATTTTGTGCACTACGATAGTTATAATTAGAAGTTGAACCTTTAGATGCCTCATTGCTAACTTCAGTATTAATATTTTCATGTGAAAGTAGAGGTGGACAAAACAGTGGGCGATGAAGAGAAAATTGATCTCATGTGCTCAATACATGAGAGCTAACTTAGAAGACCCAATATTATAGTAACTTTGTGCCTTCATGTTGCATTTTGTTCTTCCTAAAATCCTTAGCATATTCATATATGAAACAAAAGCCTTTAATTATGCTCCCAAAAGAAACACAGGAAAAGACAATTAAATATAAAAAGAAATAATACCACCATTTATAAGCTTAGACAATTGAGAGAGATTAGCGAGGTTGGAGATAAGAGTCAAAGAAATAATAACACCATTTTTAACCAAACAACCTTAGAACTCTTCAAACCTAGCGACTAAAATCCAGGAACGGAAAGGCTTCTTCAAAGAAAACTTCAATCGACTATTGCAACTTTGCAAGCATTAACTACTATGCAAGAATCTAGAAGCTCCACAAGATAAACCTGAAAAAAGAGGAGTGATAACATTAGGGGTGTTCAAACGGTTTGGTTACCATGGTAACCGTTTTAACCAGTACTATTTGGTTAATTTGGTTTGGTTAATTTGGATAATTGGTTTGGTTTGGTTAAAGTTTTTAACTTGTTTGGTTTAGGTGGTTTGGTTTGGTTTCAGACACTCCTAACCAGTCAAACCAAATTAACCAGTTAAGTAATTAGTCATATATCTAACATATATTATATACACATACTTAATACTTTGCATAACCACTCAAGAGTTAACGTTCATCCCTTTTAGACTCATAAAATATAAAGCTCAATATTGCTCATATAGTGTATATTTGTATATGTAAAATGTAGACCACAACATATGGACGCCTAATTTAGATAAATTTCATACATTATGATGGATGAAAACTTGAAAGAAAGGTCATTTCCAGTCTATGATAATTGCTAAGAGACTAAGTCAATTTACACAAACACAACAATTCATTAACCCATACCATTGTCATAAATTTTTGTTAGGTGAATACTTCTATACTAATCGTAAAATAATTGTTTTAGTTGCATGTATTTTTATTAAGGGTCAACTATAACTGCGTGTTGATTGTTATGTTTTATTCATTATATAAATTACGAATTGTTGCATTAACCGAAAAATTTTCATCGTCAATGATAATGTGATTTTATATTGGTTAATCTGGTTAACCAATTAACCAAACCGATTAAACTTTAGTTTGGTTAATTTGGTTGTTGTATTAGTTTGGACGGTTTGGTTATGATATTGTATTCCATGGTTAATGGAATTTAGCCTTATTTGGTTTGATTATAACCATGGTAACCATTTGAATACCCCTGGATAACGTTATTCGACTGGGCAACCACCTTCATTTGATATATCATCTAAGTAAAGTTAACAGCTCTCTCTAGTGCAAAACAAAAGAGAAACTTTGCAAGCTATGAAGGCTATATTAGACTTATATATATATATCAGTATGCAGTGACTCGCAGCCATTTAGTATATGGTAACTATTGTTTGATTTTGAAGTGAGGTTTCTCCCTTTGTTGTTATCATTCGGCTCCCACCCCTACTACTTGCCTTCTCAATTAATTAGTGGGGGTGGGATGGGGTGGGGGTAAACAATCATATTCTATTAGTAACTTTGTTGATAGAGACGTGGAGGGAGCTGAAATTCCAAATGCTCCTTTCCACCCAAAAAGGCAGATCTTTGCTAACGGCGGTCCATAACAGAGGCAAGGAACGACAATAGAAAAACTAACCCAATTAACTACATCAGTATGAGATGACGATTCCGATGTTCTGCTGGACAGCTGGTTTCTTCTTCAATAGCTGCCGGAGGGGACGGGGAAGGGGAAGGAGGAATGTATGTGAAGAAAGGTCAAGGTGGGATGCATGAATTTTAGGGGATAACTTATAAGGGTCTTGTGGTATCATTGTGTTCTTCAAGTAAAAACAACTTAAATGATTAAGTAGCCAATGACCATATCAGAGATCATTAAAGCAATTCCAAAATTCACCAAGGAAAGTAATTCCAAAATCCACCAAGAAACTTAAAAGGAAAATTCATCACTTGATGGGAATAAAAACCATGTAAAATTATTCTTATAAAAAAAAACATGTAAAATTACAGAGCTACATACATACCTCCAACGTGATGAAGACTCTAGAGTGTTTACTTCCCGGTTGAAGAACTTGAGTGAATAAGAATATGATTATATGACTACTGATAGAGCAAGTTTCAGTTTCCCTGCGGCTGCGAGCGAACTAAACTATTCAAGAGTGAAATCAAAATCATACTGAAAGCAAGCAAGAATCAATTGCACAAATCAACATATGCTGAACTATTTAACAGTGAAAGGAACAATCCTCATCAAACGAAAGAAATGGGGGAAAATTACAAAAAGAGGTAAAAACATATGGAAGCAATCAAATCACATAAGCGGATGATGATGAAAATGAAAATGGCCATTAGTGCCCAGAAACAAAAATCAGTCCAAAAACACTCTCCCAAACTGACGCTACTATGTTGGGGAAGGGAAAAAAGCCAAGATGGAGGGTAGTGATAAATCGATTCTGGATAATAGTTAGGGATTGCAGATAGAGGGTTGAGAAAGGTAGTAGCTGGGAAGGTGACAACGAAGTTGATAATGGGGAATCAGCGAAGGGGCAGAGGACGATTCTGATGCTCTATTCCACAGCTAGTGTCTAGAAAGAACTGCCCGGCGCCGCTAGGCTTCTTCGTGAACAACTGCCAGCGGGATTGGCGAAAACGGCGTGTAGGGAGGGGAAGGTGGGACGACGTCGGGGAAGCACTGAAGACGGAGGTGGTTTTCAAGGATTAGAAATTGTCGAGTTGCAGGGTTTGGTGTTCAAAACGCAGAGTTTCAATTGAATTAAAATGAGAGGATTTGTCCTAATTGCCCTTCCACAAAACACTCCCGTGGCTGCAATTTCAAAATGGAGAAAAAGTAATACATGAATCTCCATTATATTACTTGTAGATGTGGATTTCAAGAATTCATTTTAATTTAGTGTAGGTGACTATACTGCTCGTGGTCTCATTTTAACAACGACACAAAAGACCAGTAGCATAAAATTGATAAAATAAACAATGAAAACCTTGCCTGTTGCTCGGTCATTTGAAGAAGTGTTATTGTATGATATACCAACTGCTTAACATTACTCAGAACAACCTGCAAAAGTTCATAGCATTGTGAGCACAATACAGGAAAATGTTAAATGAAAATAAAGAATCCAAGTAGACCTGAGTGTGAGTCTTCACCTTTCTTAGTCGTGCACTGCCCACAATGGTTAAGAGAAACTCTAAAAGCTGTCCAATGAAAAAGATGTAACCAACTAACTATTTAGATACCAAAAACATTGAAAATTTTATGTACCAAAACCAAAAAGGAAACCTATAAAATTTTGGGTGCGCCTACGGTGACATGCATGTCACGGTGACTTGCACTTTTCGGTCGACCTCAGTTAGGATTAGGTCAATCTCATGTAGGATTAGGTCGACCTCATATAGGATTAGGTCGACCTAATCGGTTGTTTCAGTGTAAAAACAGTTTCATAATGCCTACTTTGGAGATTCATATCTTACAATTGGCTCGATGGAAATTGGAGATTAATGGCTTATTTTGAAGCTGAAGTGTCCCTCTACACATTAAAGTACTTGTGAGCTCAATAAGAAGTCCAGAACACCATTTTTGAACCTGATCAAAAGGTTGTGCCAAAACTTGGAAACTGCCTGAAAATGTCCAAGTCTGGGAACGTGTTTGTGAAGCCTACTTTGGAACTCAATTCGAGAAGCATGGATGTGAATCGAGCCCAGGGGCCTCTACCACGTTAAATTAGATATGTTTTTATACAAATTCAAGTCATTGGATCAAATATTGGATATCTGTAAGGCTTCAAACAAAAGGGTCGAAGTTGCTACGAAGACTGTTTTTCTGGCAGACTTCGTATTTTCATGCCAGTCATAAGCAACCTTTGTATTTTCATGCAACCTTTGCTTTTATTAAGACAGAAAGAGGTAGCAAGGGGATCACAAGAAGATTAACAATACATACAAGAACATACCTCTGGTCATATTACTTTGATCATTAATTAATAAGAGTAAGGAGTGAGGATAAAAGTTCGGGCCAATTTTCAGGCCAGTCATAAGCAGCTATCGATGTTATCGCCATACTAATTGTTGTGCAGATTTTCCGATGAGAGTCATCTATAGAAGCTAGAAGGTTTCCGCGTATAACTCCCTAAAAACAGACAATCATAGAACCAGTTATGATGCTAATACTGAAATTGTTTAAGAAGGACAAACCACAATTATAGAAGCGGAAAAATGAGACATTAAACAATGAGCAGTCAAGGCAATTTTTCTTCAACATTGGGTGGCAACTAAATACATATTAGCTCATCCCTAGGACAGGCTTGAAAAGGAAAATAAGGGAAAAACAACCAACTTCATAGATACCAGGATTAAAAAAAAACACAAAGAAATGTCTTCTTATAGTTACCTTTTCTTCCACAGAAACTGTAACATCCTCATCTCCTTCCCAGTGTTTCCGAATGAATCGCTTTAAAAGGACCGCAGCTAGGTAAAGTTTGTTAAATCCAACAAAACGAACCAAATATTCACACATGTTGCACTCAAATCCTTATGTAATGTTACACGCACCGAATCAAGCAACCAAAAGAGAGAGAAAGACTAGGATACTTATTTTCTTTTGTCAAAATAGGATTGGAACGTTCCTCATATGAATGAAAAAATAAAGTCTTTTAGATTCCACAATCACATGCTACACAAAATCTCTAGTCGGATTTTTACAAATATATAAAAATCAGGCAAAAACAAGAATATCATAACAAATAAGCTGCACGACAATAGAATAATCTACAAGTACACAAATATTGTTAAAATAGGATATTTGTCGAAATTCCAATGAGAGATTCTTGTTTGCAGCAACCCTTGATAGCGCCGCTCCAAATCCTATGGTGACACACGATATAAGGTCCAACTGTTATAAAATTCACCAACAATCTCCTAACAAGTGCTTGTGTAAATGAGGGTTATCCCATAGACTTATTCACCATCTCAACTATCAATCTCCTAACAATTGTTTGACTAAACATGATACATTCATTCAAACCTTAGGGGTTGATGCAGCAACCTAATATTACATTCATTCCAACCTTCCACAACCAACAATGTCCAGAAAAGCATAGTCTAGCACACGGAAATGAGTTCCTCAACCAAGAGAGAGCCTATGTTGACAGTTCTCCCGGCTTAAAATATGAAGGAACCAGGAAAATAAAACTCAAACATAATAACGCATGCTTATTTACATGCCTAGACACATTGCAACAGTAAATCATAGCAGCAACGGCAAAATGAATCCCAATTGTAGAACGCCGCGAAGTGACCAGCGAGTTGCAAATTTTGAGTTCCATACTCAGCAGAATTAAGAACTCGGTCCCGCCGCGACAAGATGAAGAACGACGCAAAGAAGGTGAGAGGGAGAGAAGGAAAACCTGGCTGAAGAGAGGCCTGATTGAGAGAAGTCTCGGCGAAGTTACGGAGCTCTGGATTAGGGTCGAGAGTGGCAGAGAGACAGTTGAGTAGCCACTGCTGATCCTGATCAATTACAAGATTCGTCATCGAAGTTTCCAGAGAGAGCATCCTAATCTCTCCCATCTTTTTCTTCTTCCGTTGAGGAGGAGAAAGAAGAACGAGTTTGGTTTCAGGATGGCGTCCAATTTTCCCGCGCTGAAGAGAGAGGAAGATTGGGAAGTGAGACACCTGGGATTTTGGAGCAGCGAGAGAGCTCCCGGGTTTTGGAGGGGCAGGGCTTATAAAGTGAGCGCGTTATTCTGCCAAAAGATAGCACTGTTTACATCCCAAGAAAAAACCAACGATAAAAATCAAAACTCTCTACACTCGCAGGCAACAAGGAAAGGGTCTTCCTGGCCACATCATGAGCCACCCGATTGTTACTCCTGCCAACAAAATCAACACCAAACTCTTGAAACTGACGAATCAAATTCTCGATCTTAATGGCGCAGTTTTCCGCTCTTCCACTAGAAAAACTTTTTATTGGATGTTAAAACGGCATATGCCGTATTTAGTGGTATGAAAATATTGAGTTACGATTTCAACATAAAATACTTTATTGTTGACATTTTCTCTACAATCTTCGGTATGATTTTACAATTCTGCGCATTATACGGCCTAAGAATTCAATCAACTTCAATATTATTTTAATGTGAAATAAACAAATATTTTCTTTTGACTTATCATAATAGCTAGAACTTATTCAATTAAAGTAGAAAAAACTTCAAGAGTGAGAATCAACGGAATTGCATATTGTGTTGATCTCATATCATAGAGTTTGAACTTAAGAACTCAGTTGTTTTAAGAGATAATCGCTAGCAAAAAATTTCTTTCTTGCCACAATCACTAATCAATGCAAAAGAAAATTTACACACAAAATTACACAACTATAACTAATGATAAAATAATAAGGATTATTACACATGTATAATCTATTTTATGTTTACATGGGAAACAATTATAGAGGTTCCTAGGAAACACATAAACACCTCATCCAAAACAAAAAATATATAGGGACTAATTATCTACTCCCATTTTGTCCTAAATTGATGAACATGCTTGAACTCATAACTCATTAGAAAACTACCATCCATTCTCCTCAACACAAATCTCTCAGCCAACACAAAATACCCAAACCTCTTCCAATTGTTGATTCCACCACCACCTCCAAACTCCTCAAATTTCTTCACCCTATTCTTAGCACCCTCACTTCTTCTCCACCCAACTCTTTCCTCCTCCCATTTCATTCTCTCCAAAATCACCTTGCTCAATCCAACCCCCATCCCTTCCTCCCCTGCATCATTGTCCAATCTCACCCTTCTAAACCAAATGACTCCATCATTTTCTCCAACCATATGCCCCACAACATCCCTTTCACCAACTCTCACGGCTTCGGTATCGACCAAAATATCTACATTCACGAGCGAGTTAGCATTTCCTTCGACGCCGTTGTCACATCTGAAAATCGGCATCCACTGCTGCTCCAACGTCATCTCGTAGAATCTCGAATGGTTGACTTGATCACGAGCATCCATTCTCGATTCCTTGACGAACAAGAAAGGGCAGTACCATTTCCCCACCACCCTAGGCACCGAAACACGATCACCTTTCTCGTCGGACAACACAACTTCGAAATCAGGAAGGCGAGCTCGAAGGTCTGAATCCACTCCCAGAGCTTCATCTAGCTCGAAATCCCGAGAATTCGAAGTATGGAGCGTCCAGCCGTCTCTTCTCAAAAAAAGAGGGGGGAAACCACCTCCAACTACAGATATGGCACGGTAACCCGAACCTCCATACCAGTAATCACGCCGAGAGATCTCGAACTGCTGGTAAATGTCCTCTCCGTGCGGCTCGAACGGCTCCGGCTTTCGATCCGAGATACAGTTGCAGAAGCAGCAAGTTGTCATCTCCTCCTCTGTCGAGTTACTATAAGCTTCCCTGAATCAATGAACCAATTTGTTAGGTTAGGACTACAACAACATACTTTACCTGTAAACATTTACAAACTAGTCCTCACTCTTTCTATTAACGTACATATTAACCCCTCCTCTGTTTTTCCCCCTTGCTATCTGTCCTGCAGGAAAAAAAAACAGAGCATTTTACTTACCCTTTATGCTTCCCATCCCGCTTGATCACGTAGTAACGATTAGCAGCGAGCGGGTAATTGATTGCAGGAACGAAGACGACGCGGTGCGTTTCGACGTGCTGGTGCTCTCCACTTTGCTGGACGTATCGAACTTGGAGGTTCTTGTTCTGAGGGAAAGGCAGGTCCCTGACTCTGCTGCTGTTCACCAGCCCGAAGCAGCTCGTCGGCTGAGCATCTTCATCTTGGATGACTAGCACGCCGGAATTCGGGACTTCTGGAGGCGGCGACGAAGCCGCTGAAGGGTCCCTTCTGTAGAGAGAAAGGGGACGAGTCACGTACATGGCTTTCTCTTCTTCTTTTGGTGGTGATGGTGAGATAATTATAGACCAATGATGATCACAATGTTGTTGGAGTTGCTTGTTATACTTGTATATATAATTCACAAGTCTTAATTGGAGACAGAGTTTCCAAGAAATCTCTGTGCTTAGCTTGTTCCCATGTGATTTGTCCTCTGTTTTACCAATTAATGGCTTTCGTGTTTGGGGGAAGGTTCATCGTCTTGATGAAGTCAAGTCAATGGCAGATTACGGGTGCTGACTGAATTAATGTGTTTTTAGATTGACTGGTGAAGATTGAAGATCAAGAATCGTACAGGTGTTGGTTGCAAAATAGATGGGATAGTTTACACAGTACAAAACGTTGATTAACATATTGATAACGAAGGTTCAGGGCATTTTCGTTGGAAAGATTACTTCTTTGAGTACTTAAGTCGATGATTATATAAATATAAGTATGGTTGGGTCATGGGTGTCGTGTTTGACCCTGGGCATCTTTTGCCACCGTCAAAAAATTGACAAAATGTTGTTTGAACTCAAATCTGCGAGAGATTTTGATTTGTTTTTAGCCTGTGCTGTCGACAAAATATATAGGTACCTGAGTAATACAATTTCAAGTTAGATAATTTGTATAAATTTGAATCGTTAAAATAGATTAAGTTCACTTTAGATTATTGATTAAAAATAAAATAAAAAATAGTGACTACCGGCTGAACCCGTAGACTTCGTTATTTCCGGTCTAATTGGGCTGGGTGGATGGTAATGGAAGGTTTTTACCATGTTACAAGATTCGAATTGGATCAACGATCGGCCCAGTAGAACCGTCAAACCACTTATGATAGCGGTTTTATTCATTGCTTGAACGGTTATTGATGGATCAAACGGTTTTTCACGGTTCAACATAAAATCAGATGAACCAACACGATTTAACTAGTCGAGTGGTTCACTTATTTAACAAAAAAAAAATGCTTTAACATTAACTAATACCATCAAATCATTTTTATTAATTTTATATGTGTTTCATCAACCTTATTGTCGACTTTACGTTGTCTACTACCGACTAGAACCGTAATTTTAATTTGAATTAAAAAAATGCGATTTCTTTTGTGAGCTGGTTGGAATGATTTATTAGATATTTTGGTGATGATATGCATTTGAACTTGTTTATGACCAATGATAATTTCATTCTTAAATTAGTGTAATATACAAGTCTTATATGTTATACATCATGAACGGTTCTATCAACGGTTCACCAACGGTTTTGTAACGGTTAACTGTTGAACCCTAAACCACTAATTTTTTCGATTCAGCCTCCGGTCTGGAAAATAGAGGTTTTTACTCTATCTTTTTGTGGAAAGTTTTTTTATTGCCGAAACGGGAGAGCGGATCAGGTCGGTAACCATAAGTAACACGTCCACATCAGCGTGACATCGTCATCTTTCTCTCTCGTGGAAAGCCTTTTCTCTTTTCCCTCTTAATTTTTAACGGACGATTTCTCTCACGTTTTAAGTCGGAATTTAAATTTTTTTGCACAGATAAATCAGATTAATTGTGCTCTTTAAAATGATATTCACTTTGATATTTTTTTAGAACAAAAAAAATTGAGGTTTTTTTACCAGTCAATATCATATGATATTAAATAGGACTATAGGAGCATACCATATGGTAAGAAAGCGTACCATGATGGTATGAACATACCAAGACTGTTGGAAGGTTGAATACATGATAGTAAGAGTATACTAACTGACATTTACGATTTTCGTCATTGTTTATCACAAGTTACCACCCCCATACCCAGGGGCGGAGGGAGAGTGTTAAAGGGTGGGTCCCTAGACCCACCCTAGCTCGGGAGCAAAAATGTTAAATTAGGTATAATAGTTAATTTGGTATGAAAAATAACACACATTCAATGAGAATCGTTGAACTTTCATATGTATGATGTTTGATTTATAAGATGTGTATTGGCATGCTCAATGCTTTTATAACGAGCTTTGTACAAATAGCAATGGTGCATATGATCTGCCAAAAATTAAAGATGTACATATTCAATATCTACCACATATTTCCACCAAATCATAACTAGTTTGTAAAAATAATTTTATTTACATTAGGGGTAGGGAGAGTGAAATTAGTATAATAGTTCATTGAGAATGAAATTTAGCCATTTAGGGCATTTCTAATTGAAAATTGTTGATCGAGAGATCATGTGTTCGAATTTTAACGACCCCATTTGTTCAGCACGTGTTGTACAAATTTGCAAAAACTTAACCACCTATAAACGATTTTTGTTAGTAGGAAAGTGTTAGTAAATATTAAATAATTTAAGAAGGCCCAACCGACTAAACCTCCTCTCCCTATCGGTCGAGCTCTCCCTATCGGTCGAGCTCTCCCCCTCTCCTTTCAGTCGAGCAACTTCGTTCCTTCGCCCTACGAGCTCATAATAAACCTTCGCCCTACGGGCTCATCCGCAAAGTTAAGCATATCTTTCACAAAATCAGCTTTTGTGGTAGCGAACAGATCTTTCGTGTATAATCCTGCATAATCTCGAATGTTATCAGTTCCGGTACGTAGACCAAATAATACAATGCAAGCAAAAGTTCCTAGATTCATCCATAATTAAATCTTTCCCAACAACTCGAGTTGTTGATACTAAACGGTGTTGATAAAGAACACCATTCAAAAGCAAATATCTAACTAAATTATGAATGATTTTTCGTAATTAATTATGAATAATTTTTCGATACATATAGATTGATATTTTTTATAGTCATATATTTAATTTACCACAATTTTGTAAATAAACAATTATATCATGAATGATTTAAATGCTAATAAAATTATTTTATCATATATATTTTTTCTAAATGAACCCACCCTCCACAAAATCCTGGCTACGCCCCTGCCCATACCAGAGTGGTAAATAGGGGTGTACATAGGTCGTGTGGTACGGGTTTAGCCATTTTAATCACCTGACTCATACATTATGGTTTAGAAAATATTAAATCCAAACCCACTTTAAAAAATTGAAACCCTACGGTTTGTTTCTAATTGGGTTGGGTCGGTTTTGCGATATTTCAAGTAAAAACTCAACTCAACCCAACACAAAAAATATAAATATTTTATACCATTAAAATATATATAACTAATTAAAATTTCAAATGAATAAACGGAGTGAAATGTATCAATATGCACAAATGTTGTATGATTTTAATAAAATATTATTTACTTCAACATATGTCTAGTCCTTTTCACGACATTTGTCGAAATAGGCTAAAGAGTTATAAACGACTACATCCATAATATGTTATTATATTAAATTGTACAAAAAAAAAAGATTTACGTGAATCATATTTATATTAAATCTGTGTCTAAACTTCAAACCGAAGATTGCATTCGACTAGGGAGACAATGAGAGAAAAACATGGCGAAATATCTTAATTTTCTGATAATATGCTTATATACGACATAAATATTTTTTGGATACGAACTCATACCAATAGTTGAAACACGGGTTGGGTCGGGTTCTAAGGGTTGTATAATCCAAAATCCAAAATCAACACAAAAGAGGCTGGTTGTACAAAAGAAAATCGTCATCCAACTCTAAACCTTAGTTTTAACAATAAATACGGGTGGGTTGGGTCGTATTGGACGGGTGGGTCGGTTTGCGGGTGTGTTTGTTCACAACTAGTGGTAAAGTATGGTAATTTTTTGTCCTGTATTTTTTCACCCATAAATTTGTAAATCCAAATAGATCATGATGAACTCATTCCTTCTAATATACGTTTTAAAAAACGACTTAAAAACGAAGAAGTTACCATATGGTATGTAGTTGGTAACGAGAGGTATGAAGAAAAAAATCTCAAAATATAGTAAAAATTGATCTCATTTTGTAGAGCACAACGAACTCGTTCCATCTGTGCAAAAAAAATTGAAATCCGAGTTAGAACGAAGAAGATAAAGGTCGATTAAGAAAAATAGGGAAAATAAAATGTCTTTAATTCTCCACCTTTAGATCTGAATTTTCTGGGCTCACTTAAATCTGATGGCTGAGATTTAGTTACTCATTGGTTAGTAACTAGGGGTTACTTGATCGTAACCTAAGCCCTGAAACGGGGAGCAGTTCCTGTGCATAACCTTGTGGTGAGTAATCATGCATAACCCAATCACTATCCGCTACATCAGTGCCCCTCCTCTCTTCTGGAAAGTCTTTAATTTTCCCCTCATTTTAAGTCGGAATTTAGTTGTTTTTTTTTTGCACAGTTAGATCAAATTAATTGTGCTCTTCAAATTTGATATCCAGTTTGATATAAATTTTTCTCAAAAAATATTGAAAATGAATCTCATTTTCTAGAGCACAACAAACTCGTTTCATCTGTACAAAAGAAAATTGAAATCCGATTTAAAATGAAGAAGATATGAACCGATTAAGAAAAAAAATGCCTTTAATTCTCCACCCTTTTAAATCTAGATTTACTAAGCCCACTTAAATCTGATGGCTGAGATTTGGTTACTCATTGGTCAGTAACCCCTGGTACTGACAGTATCAGGAGCCGCCGAAACATACCTTTTTCGTCATTTAATTTGTCATTTAAATTATAATTTAAATAATCTTACAAAAAAAATACAAAATATTTTGAATAATAAATTTGAGAAAGGTTTGGTGCTGTTTCATTCATTTTCAACTATTTATTAAAAACAAACAAACAATATTATTAATATTTATCATTTAAATTCAATTTTTTTATTTTACTCATGCAATGACACTTTACAACGGCTACGTAGAATACAAACATATTGCATAAAGGTTACGAAACGAAATTTATTTTTTACATAACAGTTAAATCAAAAGCGTTACGTAAGGCTTCCGTAATGACTTAACATTTTACGTAATACGAGGTTAACACTCATTACATATTTCACTAGAGTCATGAGCTTATCAAAGTCTGCTCTAGTGAGTTTGACCTCTTGGTTTGGATCATTTGATAAGTTTGTTGGTGGTGGAATTG